CTTAGCCCTCTGTGGGTGCACTGTGGTCTTGGACCAGATGGGTAGGCGGGAGGGAGGGGGTCCACCCATCTGGAAAGTTCCATTGCAGAGGAAGCTTTGTGTTCTCCACCTCTGCATCCAGGGCCCAGGGCTCCAAGGGCAGGGCTTCTTGGAAGGGCGGCTGTCTGGGATGTGATGAGTCATCTCCGACTGAAGAGGCTGGGACCAGCCTGGGTGTTGAGCCCTGGGCTGTGCCAGGATCTGCTTGCCTCCAAACCGAAAGTGTGGAGTTAATGAAAAATCAAGCTCTGCTCTTGAAAGGGGCCCTCCCTTGGCTTTTAGAGCTGGGTGTTTTCACAGAAAGGCCCCTCTGCCGGTGGGAACCATGTGCAGTGCTCGGAGCTTCCTGGCAGCCCCTGGCTTCCTCCCACTCACAGGGCTGCCTTACAACCCCTGGGATCCTTTGAGGGCCAGGCTCAGGAGCAGCCTGTCTCCCTCTTGGATCTAGTGTTGTGGCCTGGCAACTTGTGCAAAAACACTCATGGGGCAGAGGGTGAAGGAACCCAGGGGTTGGAGTCCCCAGTAGGTTTCTGATCGGATGTTTGTGGACAGGAAAATGGACCTTCATGTGAGTCAAAGAGCAAATAAGGTAAGAAAGGCCCTTTTTAGGGGCAGACTGGGTGACTGGACTGTGACCCTCGTTAGGAAAAGCCACTGCCAGCTCCAGGAAGCTCTTTGGTCTCACGTACCTTGGAAATGATTTTACCGAGGACCACCTCAATAACCGTAGCTTCTCTGCTTTGATCTTGTAGTTCTCCAGAATCATAACTGCTTCCTTTAAAAAGGCATTATATCTATTTTTTTTAGATAAATTTTCATACAACAAGGTGCACAAATCTTAAATGTATAACTTGATGAGTTGGACAAGTGTAAATACCCATGAACACCCCAGTAAAGACAAAGAACATTTCCTTCACCCCAGAAAGTTCTTTCAGGCCCTTTCCCAGTTGATCTTCTCCCCATCCCCACCCCAGGCAATAACTGATTGGTTTCTATTAATATAGATTATACTTTTATCTTTTTTTGAATGTCATATGACTGAAATCATATAGCATGTACTTTTTGATATCTGGCTCCTTCTGCACAACATAATTTCTGAGAGATTCATCCATGTTGTATGTATATCAAGAGTTTGTCCTTTTGCTTATTTCTGAATGGTATTCCATTGTATAAATATACCACAATTTGTTTATGAATTCTGCAAGAACCACTTTTTAAGTGCAGAGGGGGAAACCCCGCTGGGCTGTATACGCGGCATGAATAAGTGTCTGCATTCATCTGTGCATTCATCCACTCTCTCACCAGACACCAGGCCCTGCTCTCGCTGGGTGCAAAGGTCAATCAGAAATGGGCAGACAGATGTAGGACAAAGGCACACGCAAAGGAGACACAGCTACCATGTTCTGCTGGTTCTGAGCTTGGGAGACTTAAGAAGGCTTCAGAGAGGAGGTGGTTTTGCTGTGAGCTTTCAAGGAAGATGGGATTTAGAATTCTCAGAGAAGCGTGGTAGAGGGGCCCCTGATGGGAGCAGAAGGAAAAATGAAGCACAGGAAGGCAGAGGCCCCACAAATGCTAAATTCACTGCTAAGCCCACCGGAGGTTTGGGACTGGCAGCCTGAACCTGTCAGGCAGCTGGCATTGTCCATCCCTGTTCTGGGCCCAGAGGTGGGGCAGGAGGGAACCCAGGCAGCAGCACATCTCTTGGCGGGGACCACAGGGCAGCCATGTTAAAACAGATCCGCTCTGTGTCTTCTGGAGTTGCCTATGTCTTCCTGCTATCTGCAGTTGGTCTCCCAGGCCAGGCCTCTGAGCAGTTTGTATGTTTGTCCCACCTTCCTGCAGGGTGCACAGGCCACGCATCTGGGCAGGAGGGGCTAGGCTGGCGGTGAGCAGCGGGACCTGCCTTCTCCTGCCTTCCTTCTGTGTCTCCTCCACTGCTACCTCTATGCCTCCTCTCCCTTTAGTCCTCTCGGGTGAGGTGCTCTTCCCTCCTCATCATGAGTCATTTGGCAGGAGCCACGTTCACACTCGGTGACTGGGTTACTGAGTCTCTGTGTTGAGCAAAGGTCTTCATGTTCTGTGCCGGCCCTCCCCCAAGCCGAGGCACCCCGACCTTTGGACCTGTTCACACCCCAGCCTGGCAGAGGGCAAGGTCACTGAAGCCGTGTGAGTTGGAATCTGGCCAAGGAAAACAGTAATGCCTTCCCTTGTGTTTGCAGAGCCCTTTGTGCTCTGTCAGACGTGCTCAGGCTTGCTGTCCTCCAGCCCACCAGCCACTGCTTGTCGAGTGCCCACTGTGTGCCAGGTGGTAGAAAGGTGACACGATAAGGTTGATGGCTGTAAGGTGCCTACAGTCCGGCTGGGCAGTCATGTGAACAAATAAATATAAGAAATGTTGGGGCAGGAATATTCTAGACTGGGGCCCAGGGGAGGGAATGGTTGGTTATACTGGTTATGTCAGGAGGGGCGCTGTAGAGGAGGTGGCACTCAGTGGGGTAGAAGGTGAGCGTAATTTTGGGTGGACTTGGGGGGTGTGCATTCCAGGCAACAGGAGCAACCTGAGCAAGATCAGCAGTTGAAGCAGGAGGTTGGGTGTGGATGGGGCAGGTACGGTGTCCTAGTCAGCTCAGGCTGTATAGCGAAGTACCACAGATTGGGTGCCTTATAAACAACAGAAATTTATTTCTCACCCTTCTGGAGGCTGGAAGTCTGAGATCAAGGCACCAGCATGGTTGAGTTCTGGTGAGGGCCCCTTCCAGGTTGCAGACTGCCAACTTCTCCCTGTCTCCTCACCTGGCAGAAGGGGTGAGGGATCTCTCTGGAGTCCCTTTTTTTTTTGAGGAAGATTAGCCTTGAGCTAACATCCATGCCCATCTTCCTCTACTTTATATGGGACACTGCCACAGCATGGCTTGACAAGCGGTGTGTCTGTGCTTGCCCAGGATCTGGGCCCGAGAACTCTGGGCCGCTGAAGTGGACTCGCCCTTAACTGCTATGCCACCAGTCCGGCCCCTGGAGTCCCTTTTATAAGGGCATTAATCCCATTCATGAGGGCTCCACCTCCCAAAGGCCGCACCTCCTAATACCATCATCTTGGGCATTAGGTTTCAACATATGAATTTTGGGAAGACACAAACATACAACCTACAGCATATGGTGGGAGACAAGGCTGAAGAGGTGACACGGATGGATCTTGGAGAGCCTGGTGTGGAGCGTCAAGAGTTTGGAGCTTACCCTGTAGCAGCGGAGACCCCTGGAGGGTTTTTAGGGGTGGAATTGGGGAAAGATCACCCTGGGAGCCATGTACAGGATGGATTAGAGTGAGACTGGAGGCAGGGAGGCCAGTTAGGAGGCCAATGTGGTCATCCACTCAAGAGATAAAGCCTGAAATAAGGTAGTAGGAGAAGGGAAGGGGAGGGAAGGTTTGAAATGTTAGGGGCTTGGTCATCAGTTGAATGTAGGGGCTACAGGGCAGGAGAGAGTTGAGGATTCTCCTCTTATAGTTCCCTCGGTAAATTCGTCTTGAGCTCCTACGTCATGTAAAGTATGGTGTGAGGCACAAAGATGGGAGACCTGGGTTCTGCCCAGTGGGCGCTGGCCATCCAAAGGGCAGCCCTCTCTGGTCAGGTCTGGGTGAGTTACAAGTGACAGAAACACAATTTAAACTGACTTCGACCAAAAAGACGGGGGGCAGGGGTGTTTATTGGCTCATATACTGGAAAATTTTAGCAGGAAGAGCTTGTGTCTTTACGAATCTACCCTTTTCCATCATGGCTCATCTTTACTCTGCATAGACTTCATTTTTTTTTTTCATGACTAAGAGTTTATTCATTCTTTTTCCTGTCTTAAGAAAAAGCGGACATAAATAGTTGTTTTCCTTTGCAGCATTCACTTCTAATAAGTATACAATGCTTTCCTTTCTTGGCTTCTTACAGCTTTTTAGTTTTTGGATTTTTTTTGGCTTTAGAGCTATACTTTTATTTAAAAAAATTTTTTTAACTGTGGTAAAAACATATAATATAAAATTTACTGTCTTAACCATTTTCAAGTGTGCAGTTCAGTGGTGTTAACTATATTCACATTATGTAGCTTCATTTTAAGGCAGGCTTTCCCTAACATTTCCAGGCTGGCCTCTCACCAGCTTACCAAACCCAGTGGAAAGAGTAAAAATTCCGGAATTAGTTCTTCTAGGCCCAGGCCGGGCCATGTGGTCATCCTTAGCCACTCACGGTGGCCCTGATGATGGTTCAGCCCGGCTCATATGCCTGCCCTGGAGGTGGAGTGGGGTCATCTCCCTCTGAACCATGTGGGCTGAAACTGCAGGAGGGGTGCTCAAAGCGAAAGTGAGGTGCTATGGCTGAAAGAATGGGAAGTGGATGCCAGGGAGGCAAAATTAGCAGATGTCCACTTCAGGCAGATAAGACCTGCATGCAGGTAACTTAGGCAAACTGTTTGGTTCCACGGGAGGGGTGCGTGTAAAATGCTGCGTAACTCTAGCATCTACTGTGTACTAGGATTGTGGCAGTCCAAGAGGCTCACACTTGGCCTACATGGAGCTTTCTGCTACTGGGGGAGAGAAGAGCTGGATATAAATTACCACTACACAACGTAGAAATGGGGAGCGCCTGGGGAGTGGATGTTTTCTTCTAGCAACTGGGAAGGTCAGGAATGGTTCCTGGAGGAGCTGGCCTGGAAGCATAGGCAGGCGTTGGACATGAGGGTGCCACAGTGTGATTCCCTCTGTGGGGCATGGTTGCCCGCTGTCCGCCCACTGCTTGATCCCAGCCGCCGCTAATACCACCGTTGCTTAGCCTCCTCCTTCCCCTCCGTGGACTTCTGCCTCCCACTGGCTGCTCCAGAGTGTAGGTCTCCTCGGATGAGCCCACCCTGGGCCTATGGGAAGGGCCTGGAATCGGGGGGCCTGAGCAGGGCAGGTCTGAGGTGCTCTCCTCCCCCTGCAGGCCTCTCCCTGGAACGCCTACCCAACTCCATCGCTTCCCGCCACCGCCTGACTGAGAGGGAGGAGGAGGTGATCGCCTGCTTCGAGAGGGCCTCCTGGATCGCTCAGGTGTTCCTGCAGGAGCTGGAGAAGGTGAGCTGGGAGTAACAGCGCTGTGTTCATAGCCGCCCGCTATTGAGCACCTCTATCTACGGGCCCCCCCTGAGCCCTAGGTCACCCTTGTGCAGATTAGCAAAAGGCACCCTCCACCCCTCGAAACACACTCTCCCTCATTGGTTGGAAAACTCATTATGGTAAACTGATTCTGTTAGAATGAGACCCTCTACTGCCAGAAAACAGTTTTAATGAATAGATCAGTCCACGTCACCTGTGAGGGACCAGAAACCTCCTTGGTGAGCTAAGTTTGTGCGACCAAATGTGACAGCCCTGTTTGTATCCGTTCAATTGTTCAGTCCTCACAAGGGATCTGTGAAGTAGGTATTGTATTTATCCCTGTTGAATAGATGAGGTTGAGAGAGGTTAAACCATTGCTCACCAGCCTCCCCTCGGAGGGGGTGCCGTTGGGCTGCTCCTCGCAGCTAGACATCCTTCCCTGCTCTCTGGGGCCCAGAAGCCCCCTGCTGGATCTCTTAGGGGAGGCGAGGTCTTGGGACCCATTCTCCCAGCCTGTCAGAGGCCGCAGAGAGGATGGAAATTCTCTGGCCTTCTCATCTCCTAGTTTCCACTTGGGGGCCTGTATGCACCGTCTGCAGGACAGCAGTTCCAGGTGTTAGCAGCGTGTTGTGATGGTCCCCCAGTTCTTCCTTCCTGGGGTGCTCTTGGTTAACAGGCAGCCATATTCTGCAAAGAATGTGCAAACGGTTACTGAGTGCCTGCTTTTGGGTCTGCACTGCTCTGAGTACTTTCAGTCATTCTCTCATTTAACCCTCACACGACTGGCTGGAACACGCACTGTTGGGATTCACATTTTACAAGTGAGGAAACAGGTTTGGAGAGGAGTTGAAAAGCTTCCCGGAGTTCAGACAGTTAATGAGTGGCATTGGCAGGATTTGAGGCCTGGGAGTGTGGCTCTGATTACTTGTGGGGGAGAATTTGGGGGTTGTCTTAGGCGTTCTGTTTAGTAGACGTTTAATAGATGTTAGGTAGCAGGGGCTATGGCGGAGTGGATTAGGATTGGCGTCCTGAGGGAGGAGGTGGCCATGAGCTGAGAGACTCAGAGCCCAGGAGACCAATGCTGGAATGTCAACGTAGCACCTGTTTCCATGATGGGCCTTTTGGGAGCCCTCCTCAGGCTAGGTCAGTTCCTGTAGAGCAGGGTTTCTCAATCTCTGCACTATTGACACTTGGGGCTGGGTAATTCTTTGTTGTGGGGCCGCCCAGTGTATTGTAAAATGTTCAGCAGCATCCCTGGCCTCTACCCACGAGATGACAGCAGTTCCCCCCGCAGATTGTGACAACCCAGAATGCCTCCAGATATTGTCAGTGTCCCTGGAAGGCAAAATCACCGCCCTATTGAGAGTCACTGCCCTGGAGTCCCTCTGCTGGGCCGGACTTCAGAAGGAAAGGAGAAGTGATTGTGGGGCTCAGCAAAAACAGGACTTGAGCACATCCCCTGGCAGAGGTCCACGCGGAGACTTGACGGGGTTGAGTTGACCCCTGCCAAGGTCATGTGGATCACTGCAAGATGGCAATGTTTTAGGCTTTTCACATTTGAGTTACATGTGGTTTGGTGGAAACTTTCATGAAAAAGATAGTCTCCCATTCAGCTAGAAGTCTAGGCTTTGGACTCTTAAAAGGGGATTAAAGTGATGAGCTATAGTGACGTCCAGGGCTGGAACCAGTGAGCAGACAAATGGGCCCCGATAGCTGGTTATCTCAGGTCAAGGGAGGGCAGGCCGTGGAACCCTGTGCATTCTCAGAAATGCTGTCTCTCCCTCCTAAGACCCAGCCCCAACCTCTGAGGAGCTAAGAACCTCTCTTAAATCTGCTTCAATTTCTAAAAGACACAGTGGATGGCTTGTTGCTTTCTTTCTTGGATCAGAGAAGGGAGGTGGCATAGTAAAGGCAGGCCTATCGCGGTGGTGTGGGCGACCCTTTTAGAGCTGAGGCTTAAGGACAGCTCAGTTAATAACGTAACTGTTCCTCAGCTTTTCCTGGAGCCTGGGGTTCCCAGCCCTCCAGCTATTCTGATGTTCCATGGTTCTGTGACAGGGGCAGTGCAGTGCCTGGCGTATGGTAGACACTCAAGTGTTTGTTGAATGAATGAACAATAGCCTAGAATCTGCAGCCAGCCAGACTTGAGTTTGAGGTCCAGGTGCACACCAGCTTTGGGACCTTAGGCACTTTCTGAGCCTCAGTTTCCTCATCTACAAAATGCGGACAAAACCAGCCTTGGAGGGCTATTGTGGACATCGGGCATTTGGATGGGGAGAGCGCTTTAGACATATTTTAAATTAAAGCAAGTTAGGTTGAGTTTGGTCTGAGTATTGCACTCTGGGCCCCGAGGTGGCTGGGGACTTGGGGTGTTGATGGGGTCACTGCCTCTGCCTGGGCTGACCCTTGCCCTGGCCCCTCTGCCTCGGACATTTGAGACAGTGGCTCTCTCTGTGTTCCCCTTCCCAGGTCACAAATAACACCACGTCACGGCATCTGAAAGGCTCTCATCCGGTTGACTATGAGCTCACCTACTTCCTGGAAGCCGCCCTCCAGAGCGCTTACGTGACAAACCTGAAGAAGGGGTAGGTCGCCTGCAGCCAGGCAGGACCTGGATGTTTCTCTCTGGGCCGGGGTGCTGCTGATGTGGGTTGCGCAAGTCTGGCCTCCCTCTCCTCTGACCTGCTTGTGTGCGTGTGCGCTCTCTCAGAGGATCGATGGGGCTGGCTTGTTCACATCTTGTCAGAAGCTGCCGAGGCAATAAAGCCTGCACGTGCTCTGGAGGAGAGCTGCTGAGAAGAGAAACGGGAGTGGTTATCTTTAGAAGGAAGAGGTGTGGGAGCCTGGAGGATGATGTGGGAGAGGAAGGACAGTGAGCGGGCCGTGGGTGCTAGTCTGGGGGTGGTCCCTGTCACCGAGGCGTCGGGTAAAGTCATTTCGCTTCTTGGAGCTTCATTCTCCCCAAAAATCAAACAGAAAAGGTGATTCCTGCTTATTCCAACTTCCAAGGGGCAGTGAGATGCGAGCGGAAGTGTAGTGAAAATAAAGGACTGGCATCATTTTGGAGGAGCAGCTGCCCCTGCTGATGGGGTGGTAGAAAGCTCGTCCTCCAGTTGACTCGAGGGCCCTGGGAATACTCACCTGGTAACCCTTCCTCAGTCTGTTGGAGTTAAGCAGGGCACCCTCCCTGTATGAGGAGTGCAGTTGATACTTCCATCTGTGCAGGAGGGGATGGTGGTGTGGGCACCAGGCCCGGAGTGGCGCTTCATGGGTGTGTTGGGTGGTGGTGGGGAGGGAAGAAAAAGCTACACAATCCGGGGGATGCGTTGGAGGCAACCGTGGCTCTTAGGCAGTTCTGCAGTGGTCAGTCCTGCCTGCCGGGAAGGCCTCCACCAGTCCAGAGACTAGCAGGTGCGGCTGGGATGTCCTGTGCCCCATCGGCCTCTGCCTTGGCATCATTATCACCTCTGCAGACACTGTGGGCTGGGGCCAAGAGGACATCCCAGGCAAGTGGAGGGACTCACATATGCTGAGTGCAGCCGGTCACCTTGGAGCCTTGGCACATGTCTCTCACTCCAGCCTCCAAGGCGGTGGTGGGTCAGCCAAACAGGTATTACCTCCTTCTCACAGGTGAGGAAACTAAGCATCAGGATCACGGAGCTTTCTTTGCTCTGACGGGCTGGAGTCCTTTGAAGCCCAAATTTCATTTTTGGTCTGATTTATTTTGTTAAATTTCACTTTATTCGTTCTCTTAATTTGACATTTTTTTTTAATAGGGGATTCTTGCACATGATACCAAATTAAAAAGGTACAAAAGAATAGACAGTAAAAAGTTTCCCTTCTGCCTCCATCCTCTGCCTCCTGGTTCCTGTATAGTCAGTTGTACTAGTCTTCTATGTCATTCTAAGATAATCAGCAGGATACACAAGCGATTGTATATGTATATTATTTTCCCCCTTTTTTCTATACGTATTCTGCCCCTTGCATTTTTTTATTTTATTTTTTAATTATTTATTTATTTTTTGTGAGGAAGATCAGCCCTGAGCTAACATCCGATGCCAATCCTCCTCTTTTTGCTGAGGAAGACTGGCCCTGGGCTAACACCCGTGCCCATCTTCCTCCACTTTATATGGGATGCCACCACAGCATGGCTTGACAAGTGGTACATCAGTGCGCCCCCCGGGGATCCAAACCTGTGAACCCCGGGCTGCCAAAGCGGAGCATGCACACTTAACCGCTAGGCCACCAGGCCGGCCCCATTTTTTTATTTCAGGTGTATCTCTTGAAGATTGTTCCACGTCAGAAATGCCTTTTCTTTTGCACCGCTGCATAGTATTCCATAGTATCCCATGCTACGAATGTCATTTACTTTGTTTACTCCATTTCCAACCAGTGGACAACTAGGTCTCCTCTAGACTTGGATTCTTTTCAACATGGCCCAGAGTCCAGAACAGAACCATGCCTGTGCGTTATTTCACAGTGGGAGTCTGTCTGTAAGGTGATTTCCTAGACAGGGAAGTTCGGTGTCAAAAGGTCGTTTTGATGGAGATGGCCAACTTGGGCCTTGTAGGGGCTGTGCCAATTTCTCTTCCAGCAGGGTGTGTGAGAAAGGCAGCTTCATAAACACTCGCAACACAGTGCAAGTGTTTTGATGTTTTATTGATCTTTATTGGTGAAATATGGTATCTCAGCGTCATTTTAAATTTGCGTTTTTCTGAAGAGTGAGGTTAATATATTTTTATGTGTTAAGAACTGTTTGCACCTTTAAAAAATATATAATTTATAGATCCCTTCCCCCTCCCAGTTTACATAAATAGTATAATAATAATGTTTATAGTGGAAACTTTGGAAAATACATAAAAATATAAAATAGAAAAATAAAAATCACATATTCAACTTTTGGATCAAGGATTGGCAAATTCTGACCTGGCCATCCGCCTGCTTTTGTAAATAAAATTTTATTGGAACACAGCTTGCCCACTCATTTAGGTATCATCTATTTTTATGGCTGCTTTAGAGCAAACTGCAGAGTTACGTGACTCCAAGCCAAAATGTTTACTATCTGGTCCTTTACAGAAAAACATCCCAGACCCTGTGCTCTAGATAATTACTATGTATCTTTCATGTTTTTCTATCTATGGATATGCAGGTATATTTTTTCCTTCCTTTTTTAAACAGCAACAACAAAATAGTATCCTAGAGGGATGCTGCTTTGTAGCCTGCTCATTCCGCTCAGGGCTGGGCTGCCAGCCTCTTTCGTGTTCCTGCTCCTCTCTCTTCCCCATGACATTGCTCTCTGTGGGAGTCAAGGGGAAGGTGGCTGAGCCCACTCCTGCAGGCTGGCTCAGGGCTAGGTGGGCCGTATCACGAGGACCTCAGCCTTGAGCTGAGCCCTGTGGGAGGGGGGATTCCCAGAGGCAGGAGGAGTCTGGGAGGGGAGGAGGAGGTAGGAGGAGACCGAGGTTCCAGGAAGGGGATCTGCAGGAGGGTCCTTGGCCAAATAAGTTTGGGTAACAGTGGGTTGAAGACTTCCCAGACCCTCCAGAATAGGAACTCGAAGGAGCATGAATGAGGGTAGTCCATTTCCAGGAGGAGGCAAAGGCATGTAAAGGGTTTGACATGGAACCCTTGTTTGGGGGTGGGTCTGTGGGGACCACTTTTCGGGAACCAGTGCTCTGGGATTCCAAGGGGAGCAGTTGGGCTGAAACATAGGGTTCTGGCCCAGGCAGCTTCTCCATCCAGCGGCTGTCCCTGTCCAGCCGGCAGCCCTGTCCCATCAGAGCTCCATCCCTTTCGGGGTGTTGGAAGCCCTGAGCTTCAGTGCTCAACTGCCTGGAAGAGGAGAAGTAGAGTCCCATGCCCAGAATTCGGAGCGCGCATGGTGAGGACCCTCCCAGGGTGGCTGAGATGGCTGTAGGTGGGCGTGGGCCCTGGCTGTTAGACGAGGTGGAGGTGTCGCACAGTCCCTGCCTTCCTCATGGTAAGAACAGGTGGAAAGAAGGGTCCCAACCAGGAACCAGGCTGTCTCCCTGCTCTCTCCTCATACGTGAACACCCACCAGAGCACCTGATTCATCAAAGGGTTTATTATCATTTATTTGTATGTTTTGTGCAAGCCACAGCTGGACAGGCTGCTTGCCCGAGCTTGAACTTTACACCTTTTGTTTTGTTTTTCTTTTTTTGTGTGTGTTCATTTCTCAAGTGCTAGGCCAGGGAGGCGGTGGTGTCCCCGTTTGGGACATGTGGCTCGAGAGGCCCAGAGAGCAGAGGTGGCTCACCCCTCAAGGTGGGGGGCTGGCTCCAGAGCCCGGGCTCCCCAGACCACCCTGCGGCCATGGAGCTGGGGCCGGGGGCGTGTCGCAGGGACTCTGGGGAGCACACCACCTCTGCCCCACCTCCACCATCTGCTGTTTTTTTGTCCTTTTTCGGTTGCTGAACTTCAGTTTCAGAGAGACGGTGGCCCAACGGGCTGGTTCCTGTTTTTGTAGGCCAGGCGGCTGCCACCAGGCGGCTGTTCTCTAGCTTGTAACTGCCCTTTTCCTGGCTCTGCCCCCTCCCCCTGGGGAACCCCTCCGCCTGCAGCTGTGAGCTCTCTGGGATGAATGAGGGACCCTCGGCCCCTGCCTGCAGAGATTGGAAGGAGGGGCAGGGCTTGTTACCCAAAGGCTCGTCCGAACCGCGAAGCCCAGTGTGAGCCTGGGGAAGGTGAACCTCTGCAGCCTGTTTGTGCAAATCAAGTTTTAGTGGAACAGAGACGCGCCCATTGTCACCCACAGAGTTGAGTAGTTGTAATTGAGACCGTATGGCAGATCCTAAAATATTACTCTCTGTGCCCTTTACAAAAGAGTTTGCTGACGCCCGTTTGCTGACACCCGCTCTACATTTAAGAAGGACCCCCTCCCAACCCTCTTGTAGGAGAGGACCTGCTCTTCTCCTTCTGTGTGGGAGCCCTGTGGAATAGATTTTGTGGGGAGGGGACAATTCTGATTTCAGTGTTCTGTCCCCTTCATTCATTCAACAAATGTTGTACTGGTACGTGCCACTTATTAAGTGGTAAATTTGTGCCAGGCACTTGTTAAGTGCTTTGCTCGCACGTGTATTTAGTCCTCCCGGCAGCCCTCTGCAGTAGGTGTTGTAGTTAGTTGGCATCCCCATTTTACAGATGGGGAACTGAGGCACAGAGAACATAAGTGACTTGTTCTGGGTGGAGCGAGGATTGTGTGTACAGGTCCTGGCTGACGCTGTTAACCACTAGGCTACACTGCCCACCGCGTTAATAGGACCCTGCTGCCACCTCCAAGGTGCTCACAGCCTAGCATTTGTTCCCCTGAGTGTGCTCGTGCGTAGTAGGTGGTTTGAAGGGCGCCCTCGCCGTCTGGAGGCTGTCAGGGCCGGGCCTGGGAGTGGGGGGCCACTCAGTGACCCTGCGTGAGTTCCTCCTATGCCCCTCCCCTCTAACAGGGGGCTCTGTTTGTCCTGCATCCCAGGGGGTGTCAGGGTCCAAGGAGAGGGAGGGAATGAAGAGACACTTGAGTACCGAACTCAGAGCACTGGAGATATTGCTGTAAACCCTTCTCCACTGAGGT